CAACGTTGTATGAACAATCTCTTAGAAGATTTAATTTTTAAAGATTGTCTGGTCTACTTAGACGACATTATTATTTTTTCCACTTCATTGGAGGAACACATTTTGTCGCTACAAAAGGTATTTAAGAAGCTTAGAGAAGCTAACTTAAAACTACAGTTGGATAAATGCGAGTTTATGAGAAAAGAAACTGAATTTCTCGGTCACATCATCACAACTGAGGGTATAAAACCAAATCCCAACAAGATACAAGCAATTGTCAAATTCCCAATTCCAAAAACCCCAAAAGAAATTAAGTCATTTCTAGGATTATGTGGTTTCTATAGGAAATTTATACCAAATTTCGCTAATATAGTAAAACCATTAACACTTAAATTAAAAAAGGGAGCAAAAATCAATATAAAAGACAGAGACTACGAACTAGCGTTTGAAAAGCTAAAAGTACTCATAACATCCGACCCAATTTTAATATACCCTAACTTCGAAAAACCATTTTCATTAACTACAGACGCGAGTAATATGGCAATAGGGGCCGTCCTTTCGCAAGAGCATAAGCCTATATGCTATGCAAGTAGAACTCTCAACGAGCATGAGTTAAATTATTCAACGATTGAAAAAGAATTATTAGCAATCGTTTGGGCCACTAAATACTTTAGGTCCTATCTCTTTGGTCGACAATTTCAAATCCTTAGTGATCACAGACCACTCGTCTGGTTAAATAATATGAAAGAACCTAACATGAAATTACAAAGGTGGAAGATCAAGCTAAATGAGTTTGATTTCCAAATTAAATACGTCCCAGGAAAAGAAAATTATGTGGCAGATGCTCTGTCCAGAATTCAATTAAACGAAAACTTCTTAGGCGAAGATACAATTAGCACAAGAGCAACAATACATAGTGCTCAAGAAGACAACAGTAACCATTTACAAATCACAGAAAGACCACTTAATTATTATAATCGACAAATAGAATTTGAAAAAGGAACCGAGAACGAAACAAAAGTTACGAATTACTTTCACAAAACCAACATAAAAATTACGTACAAAGACATGACTAATACGCATGCCAAAGAATTAATAAAAGAATACTTATGCACAAAGAAAAGTGTGCTATACTTCCACAACGAAGCAGATTTTCCAATTTTTCAAGAAGCCTACTTAGAAATAATAAGTCCAAATAATTCAACAAAGGCAATGAAAACTAGTACAAAATTAATAGACCTTCAAACATACGCAGAATTCAAAGAATTAATATTAAAAAAGCACAAAGAATTATTACATCCAGGAATTGAAAAAACTATTAATTGGTTCAAAGCAACCCACTATTTCCCAGATTATCAAAATTTAATTCAAAATCTAATAAATGAATGTGAGATTTGCAACATCGCAAAAACAGAACACAGAGATACAAAATTAACTTTCGAAATAACTCCGGAAATCGCTAATATCCGAGAAAAATATGTAATGGATTTTTACATAGTAGGAGATAAACAATTTTTATCTTGCATTGATATCTATTCAAAATTTGCATCATTAATAGAAATAAAAAGTAGAGACTGGCTAGAAACCAAACGAGCTATATTACAAGTGTTCAACCAAATGGGTAAACCCATCGAAATAAAGGCAGACAAAGACTCAGCTTTTATGTGTACAGCTTTACAATTATGGCTAAAATCAGAAGCAGTAAATATTAATATAACCACTAGTAAAAACGGTATATCCGACGTAGAACGATTTCATAAGACAGTTAACGAAAAACTAAGAATCATTAACAGCGACTCAGACGTCGAAAATAAACTTACAAAATTTGAAACTATACTCTACACGTACAATCATAAAACAAAGCACAAAACGACTAACAGAACACCAGCGGACATATTCATATATGCAGGTACACCAGAGTATGACACTCAAGCTAATAAAGAAAAACTAATAAATAACCTCAACAAAAAACGAACAAATTATGAAATTGACACTAGATACAAACACTCACCGTTAGTTAAATCAAAGACGACAACCCCGTTCAAGAAAACAGGAGAACTAAGACAAATCGATGACAAACATTTTGAGGAAACTAACAGAGGCAGGAAAATAACACATTACAAAACCAAATTCAAAAAGAAAAAGAAGACTAATCAAAGCAAATATAACAATTACAGGTCAACAACAGACAGCGATCAAAACATACAAGCACCAGCTTAAATTAATTATTATAATATTACTATCAATAACTGTAAACCATATAAATGCACAGAGTATTGAAATTAATCCTATCAAAGCCCATAACGGATATCTCATATTTAAGACAGGAACCATAGACATTCCGACAGATTACGAATTCCACTGTTTAACGGTTAATATAACAAAAACCGAAGAAACTTTTAACAATTTAATTGAACAAAGTAAAGAATTCAATAACCTTATACAAATCGAATACCTAGTAGAAAAATTAAACAGAGAAATAAACGGCTTAAAAATAGCCAAACGCAGCAAAAGAGGTTTAGTTAACATAGTAGGAACAGCATATAAATACTTATTTGGAACATTAGATCAAGAAGACAAAGCAGAAATTGAACAAAAAATAAGCAACTTAGCAGAAAACAGCGTTCAGGTTAACGAATTAAATTATATAATAGAAGCTATAAACAAAGGAATAGAAATCATGAACGAACTAGATCAAGAGAAACAAAAAGGAAAGAAATTAGATATCCTTATATTTAACTTACAACACTTTACAGAATATATAGAAGACATTGAGATGGGAATGCAGCTCACAAGATTAGGAATTTTTAACCCAAAATTACTAAAACATGACTATTTGTTGCATGTTAATTCTGAGAAATTGTTGAATACAAAAACTTCCACTTGGTTTAAATCAGATACAAACGAAATACTGATAATATCCCATATTCCTCGAGAAATAATAAAAAGCCCGGTATTCGAAATAATTCCATACCCGGATGAAAATAATAATATTTTGACAGAAATAGCTCATGAAAAATATTTTACCCAAGATAAAAAAGTTTATAGCAGAGAAACAAAAAAATTAATTAATAATGAATGTTTAACAGGAATTTTAAACCAAATAACATCAGAATGTAGTTATACTAAAATTTTGCAAAATTTTCAAATCAACTACATAGAACCAAATATAATTTTAACTTGGAATTTACCAAAAACTATATTAAACCATAATTGTATAAATAACGAAATAACAATAGAAGGAAACAATATAATAAAAATCTTTAATTGTTCATTGCAAATTAATGAAATTTCAATTTCAAACAATATGTTAGATTATACTCAAAGCATTTACGTAAGCAATGATGTTATAAAATTAGAACCACTTTCGTTTGTACAAACGAAACAAATTATAAATGCACATACAAAATTTAACAATGTATTCCAGATAATTACAATAACCATATTTGTAATCATATTAATAAGTTTAACACTGTATTTGACATATAAGTTCAAAAGCATACCTAAGAAATTAATTATAAAATATAAAAAACCCAAAGTAGAAGAAACACCTACAATAATAGGAGATATACCAATTGTAAAAGAAGAAAATGTTACACTATATCCAAACTTAAACACCTGAGGACAGGCACTTTTCTAATGGTTGGGGGAGTGACATATCCATAGTCGCACCCACCCTTTAACATAACTTAGCACATAAGCATAAGCACAATTATAAACATTTCTAATATTGTAAACAAAGAGCCTGGTGATAACATCGACATTGGTCAAGATCAAACTGTCCCCCTTTGGTAGACATAAACAATTCACCCTAAATATCACGCCACTGTCAATGTTCCCATCAGAGTACTATCCCACGCATAATTGCTGACGCAGCTCAAACTTCACTCAATTTTGACTCAAACTCTCTCAAAGCGAAGTTTGCTAAGCGACCGCAACAGTTAGATAAATCAGTTCATATTCGGGAAGCAAATCTGAATGTACTCAACAAAAGTAGCCGTTAAGTGAAAATAATAAATTGAAATATATTTTTTTATAGTAACCTAACGTGTAAAACTTAATTATATATATAAAATGTAATTTACGTAAAAGCAGCTGCCGTTTTTTGGATTTATTCGTTATATATTTTGTGTACGCTGAATGCGACCAAGTTGAATGCACAAAGCTCGCTTTTCAGGGCAGCAGGCAAAAAAAAAAAAGAAAAAAAGAAAATGTACTTTCTGCTCCTTTCCAAGTGCTTGAAAGTTACTTGATTTATTATGCTACTCCCCCGCTTCTATATATATATATATATATATGTGTGTGTGTTTGTGTGCGTGTGGGGGGGACAAATATTCGCCTAGCAAATTTATAACTGAGCAAATCGGTCTAGCTGCAACCAGAGTTGCCAGACATCCTAGGGGGAAAGGTGTGCAAATTACAGGTTTGCAATTTGACCACAAAATGGAGCTGGCAAGATGGCGGAGGATAGCGTATAAAAAAGATGCAAAATCTGAAATGGAAAATGCAGAAAGAAACAGAACCGAGCGAATGCCATGCAAAATAAATGCAGACAGCTGAGTTAGTGCCTTAAATCTGCGGTTGGCAAAAGCAAAATGTTGATAATAGCGTGATTTACTATGCGCCAGGGTTAAGAAAAGCTTTAGAAATGCGTTTCGTTAAAAAAAATGTTCAGTTCTGAATGCAAGCTTCTTGGTTAGCAAAAGTGGCGCATGAATAACTCGCAATACAAGCATTATTCCATTTCAATTAACTGAAAATATTATTTAATGCAAGAGCTTAAGTATTAAAAAATAATAATAAATGCGCCAGTAAATGCTCTGCTCAGTTTGTGAAAACGTTTTAAGTTATTATATATTTATTATTATACATATATCAGCGTTTGGTGAACGAATAACCCATAGCGAATAATTGAGTAATTGAGTGAAACTATCGATATTTTCCCTTGCAACACTGCCGATTGACCATTCACAATGGTCGATAAAAGTAAGCTCCTTTAATCGATTCCACATCAGCCTGCAGCTTTTCGCTTTCTTTTTCTGGCGACTGCCGACTGAAGCAAACCGTCCTGTCCACGAAATAAAAGGAAACAACGAACTGATATTATGGACAAGCCAATTGTATGGGCTCGCGTTGTAAAGGTGCTCGGCCGCACAGGCTCTCAGGGTCAGTGCACCCAGGTGAAGGTGGAATTTCTGGGCGAACAGAATCGCCAAATCATACGCAACGTGAAGGGTCCAGTTCGAGAGGGCGACATTTTGACGCTGTTGGAATCTGAACGTGAAGCCAGACGTCTGCGCTAGGATGGGAGTTGTGGATCTATAGGACTAGGTAGAATAATCATTGTGCTAATCGGGGGAACTTTGAGGATTTGTTGCATATACTGATGGATATATACATAATAATCTCAACACATAATAATTTCTTAAATATGAAAGTTATTTTGCAAAGGGGGTTTTGGGCGTAATTCCCTTTGCAAGTACTTACATACATATATAATATTTACAAAATAAAAATACTAATAATCGGACTCTTGAAATTTGTCAACCAAGCGAATACATAATTTAATTTCAATTTATAATAATCAATCGTATTGTGCATTAAGTTGTTTGGGCGAAACGCTTTTTGCAAATTCTTTTATAAAATATAACGAATTGTAATATAAAGAAAACTATGAAATATCCTCAGTAAATACATCGAGTACTTGTTTCATTTGTAATTTATACAATTTTCTAAACTAAATAACTTAAAAATTCTAACTAGATCGAGTTAAAATAACTCGTTAAATCACTTAGGGATTCTTAAAAAGAATCGAAGTCAAACAAAACTTTCATGTCCCTGGCGTTGCCATACTCTATTAAAGTATTGTCAATATATGAAATTATATGATTCAACTTGTTTAAATTTGTATCAAGCGTAATCGGAATATACTATCGATTTAACTAAATCATGATTTAGCTAAGTGCCAAAAGAACCAATAAATGGAGTATATCAAGCTGAATTAAATTAACCAGAAAGCTGTGCCCTTGGCGTTGCCAGACTTTTTTACAAATGAGCTGCTGTAGTTGGGTAAAAAGCTGCCTGAGCGCGTGTGTGTGGGTGTGTTCGTGGGCATACCGTATAAAAATCACATTTATGCCATTTACCAACAATTTATCTTTGCTGTCAGACCACAAACACCCGCACACACATACACGCACACACACACACACACAAAGAGCAGCACACGGCCGCAGGTTAAGGCAGGACAGGGACAGGCATTTATCATGCAAAACCAAGATAATTTATAACCACCACCAACAACAGGAGGAATCAAATGGACAGAGGCCATCACACACACACACATGCACACGCACACTAAAGCTGTTGCCTCATCGCTTCTTCTTTATCTCTGCCTGCTCCATTTACAGTGCTGCGCGATGAGTTTCGCCTGGAGCCACAAAACACACGCATCGCCCAGGGTGACACCGCGCTACTGGAGTGTGCAGCGCCGCGCGGCATACCGGAACCGACGGTCACATGGAAGAAGGGCGGCCAGAAATTGGATTTGGAGGGCACGAAGCGTATACGCATCGTTGATGGCGGCAATTTGGCCATACAGGATGCACGTCAAAGTGACGAGGGTCAATACCAGTGCATTGCCAAGAATCCTGTCGGTGTGCGCGAATCATCCCTAGCCACGCTTAAAGTACATGGTACGTAAACCCCCAGCCAATCCACACCCCTCACCCACACCCAAATCCATGCCAAATCCCACATCATGCTGCACCTCAAATCAATGTGTCATGTTCAATTTGTTGGCATGTGACTTGGGTGCCTGTGTAGCACCAGGATTGCACCTAAATGCCGCTAAGCGTTTCATTATGTTTATTGCAGTTAAGCCCTACATCATACGCGGACCACATGATCAAACGGTGCTCGAAGGCGCCTCCGTCACATTTCCCTGCCGTGTCGGCGGGGATCCCATGCCGGATGTGCTTTGGCTGCGCACCGCCTCCGGTGGCAATATGCCGCTAGGTAAGCCCACAGACAACACCTGGCGATTCATCAGTTATTATAATTTCCCCGCGTGTACGCATACTTATATTGCAGACCGTGTCAGCGTGCTGGAGGATCGCAGCCTGCGCCTGGAGCGCGTCACCATAGCCGATGAGGGCGAGTACAGCTGCGAGGCGGACAATGTGGTGGGGGCCATCACAGCGATGGGCACATTGACGGTCTTTGGTAAGTCACTGCTTCAGTCCTTTTTAATTGCGGCTCACTGACGCTAGCTTAGAGTGAGGAGAGCTTTCTGAAGGGAAAGCTTAAAACCATAAATTAGTTAAGGGAAGATAGATTGCAAAACTACAGTACAAAACATAATCGAACTGAAAGCAGGAGAAGCTTTAAGTTAAAGCACATTAAAGCTTAAAGTCAAATACGTTGAGAGCTTAATTTGAAAGCCAGTCAGATAAATTTCGTATAATAAAAATCGAAATAAAATCTTAACATTTGATAATCCATTTCGAGATATGTTGCAATTATTGAATGGATTACAGCTCACAATCAAGTACCTGTTTTAATATAAGTATTAAAGCAATATTACTTTAATTTAAAGCTCGTGTCATTGAGCCATATTTTTAGCGCTAGTCAAGCACACTTAGCTAATTAGTTAAAACCCTATATGAATCCCACACATACGCACACTGTAGCGCCCCCGAAATTCATACAACGTCCCGCCAGCAAATCCGTAGAGCTGGGCGCGGACACCTCGTTTGAGTGCCGCGCCTCAGGCAATCCGAAGCCGACCATATTCTGGACGATCAAGAACAATAGCACGTTGATCTTTCCGGGTGCACCCCCCCTGGATCGATTTCACAGCCTGAATACGGAGGAGGGTCACTCCATCTTGACGTTGACGCGCTTTCAGCGCACGGACAAGGATCTGGTTATTGTGTGCAATGCAATGAACGAGGTGGCCAGCATAACGTCCAGGGTGCAGCTGACTCTGGACTCGCAGGAGGATCGACCGCCGCCGATAATCATTGCGGGCCCGGTGAACCAAACGCTCCCCATCAAATCGCTGGCCACGCTGCAATGCAAGGCCATTGGACTGCCCAATCCGACCATATCCTGGTATCGCGACGGCATACCCGTGCATCCCAGCGCCAAGTTGAACATAACCGCCGCCGGGGATTTGATTATATCCGATTTGGATCGACAGCAGGATCAGGGTCTCTACACGTGTGTGGCCAGCTCTCGGGCCGGCAAGTCCACGTGGAGCGGTTTCCTGCGCATAGAGCTGCCCACCAATCCGAACATTAAGTTCTATCGTGCGCCCGAGCAAAGCAAATGCCCCACGGCACCGGGGCAGCCGACAGTGCTGAATGCCACCGCCACGGCCATGACAATTGTGTGGCCCACCAGCGACAAGCTGGGCGCCTCCCCGTTCCTCGGCTACAGCGTGGAAATGTACTGCACGAACAAGAGCAAGACCTGGATACCCATTGCCAGCAGGCTCAGTGAGCCAATTGTCACGGTGGACAGTTTGGAGCAGGGCGCTGCTTATATGTTCATTGTGCGCGCCGAGAATGCCTTGGGCTTCTCGCCGCCCTCGCCCATATCGGAGCCCATCACGGCCGGCAAGCTGGTGGGCGTGCGCGATGGCAGCGACGCCTCCGCCGGCTCGCCCAGCTCGCAGCTGCTGCTCAGCGATGTGGAGCAGCTGCTGCAATCGAATGACATTGTCGAGCTGCTGGAGGCGAATGCCAGCGATTCGACTTCGGTGCGCCTCGCTTGGGACATAGACAGCGGCCAGTACATCGAGGGATACTATTTGTATGCACGTGAGCTGCGCTCGGCGGAATACAAGATGCTCACACTGCTCAACAAGGGTCAGGGCCTGAGCTCCTGCACGGTGCCCAATCTGGCCAAGGCGTCTACGTATGAGTTTTTTCTTGTGCCATTTTACAAGAGCATCGTAGGCAAACCCTCCAATTCCCGACACGCGCGCACCCTGGAAGATGGTAAGAATGCCCAAGATAGCTTTTTTCCATCTACCTGCTAATCAGCTGAGCTCCGGCTTTCAACGTCCCATCTGCTGCCACTAATCCAACTTCATTTGTTTTCCTCTTTCTTTTTTTTTTTTGTTAACAGTACCCGAGGCACCGCCATTTGGCATGGAGGCCATCCAATTCAATCGCACCTCCGTCTTCCTCAAATGGCTTGCCCCACAGCCGAATCGCACACGCAATGGTATGTACTCTCAACAAATCCCCAAAATGCGCCTATTAAAGACACCCTACGATAGGTTTATTAGCTTACAAATTGAGTTTGGAGGTCGGAGTTGTAATTATGACCAAAAGTGGGATTTTGTTCTTTTTTTAAATAAGCTAATATGGAAATATTTTATTAGATATTTGTATTTTATCGTGTCATATATGTGTATGGGATCTTAAGTCCAATTTATGTACGTGTATTAAAAACAGACGCTTTAATATAGCCTGCCAAATTTATTACCATAAACATTGAATGGATTTCCAATTAGATAGATAGTTAAAAAAAAAATAGATATATATATATATACCCTATTTAGTGTAACTCTTGCTTGTCATCAATCTTGAAGCGTGTATTGAACGCATCTTCCATCAAAATTCCTGTTTCGAAAGGGCATTTAAACATTCGGTTGACCGAATAACTTACTATTTTCTTTGTGCTCTTGTTAACATTTAATTTCATTTGTTCTTTTCCCTCTTTCTCTCTCACCACTGTCGCTGCGGCCGCACGGCAGGCATCCTCACCAGCTACAATGTGCTCGTCAAGGGTCTGGATGTGCACAATACGACGCGTATATTCAAAAATATGACCATTGATGCGGCGACACCGACCCTGCTGCTGGCCAACCTCACAACGGGCGTCACCTACTACATTGCCGTGGCTGCGGCCACCCGGGTGGGCGTCGGTCCCTATAGCAAACCGGCCGTGCTGCGCATCGATGCGCGTACCCAATCACTGGACACAGGCTACACGCGGTGAGTTGTCGGACCGGACAGGGGCACGGGCACGGGCATAGTCTGGGGTATTGGCTGGACGGTTTATTGTGCGGGAGCTCATTTGACTGCTGCCATTTGGGACAAAAGCTGGCGCGGCCACATTCACATCAATCCATTAACAGCAAACGACAATGGGCGGCTGAGAATTGAGACAGGCAGACGGACTTTGTGACCATTAAACTAAGCCTAGCCAGGGCACGTACTTCCTGCTCCAGTAGTCAACCGATGCTCATTCCGCTTTCTTTTTGTCCATTTCTCTGCTTTCTATTCCTATTGTGCGCAGCTATCCCATCAGTCGTGATATTGCCGATGACTTTTTAACGCAAACCTGGTTTATCGTCCTGCTGGGCTCCATCATCGCCATAATTGTGTTTCTATTGGGCGCATTGGTTCTATTCAAGCGCTATCAATTTATCAAGCAGACCTCGCTGGGCAGTTTACATGGTGAGTTATCCGACGCCCGACGGGACGTCAATTTAAATGTATTTTTTTGCTATTTATTTTACTTTATTTTTTTTTTTTGTGCCTGGATTAAGTTTTGGTGGCAGCAGCTTTGCAGGGGGTGGTTCCAACTTCCCTCTGCCTGGCCGGTAATTGCTTGGCATTTGCAATTTATGAGCTGTATGCTCTATTGAGCATTGGAAATGTCACAGCTTAGCTACAAC